TGAACATCGTTACCTGAACAAACCGGTTGTTTCATCTCACTGACAGTAGTGGTCGGTAGTAGAGTGCAATCGAAGGAAGGCTGGGTCTGAAAAAAAGTTTTTTTCTTCTCTCGTAAATTTTTCAAATTGGGAGAGCCATGTGATGAGCATGTTGACAGTAATCATTCTTTCTCAATAGGAACTATTTTCCAAAACACCGGGCAGCGCTGGTTACTTCTACTCCAGAGCCTTCAACTGCTCAGCGCACGGCTGCCACCCCTGTTACTGCGCCCTCAGCAGGCGCTAATGGAGTGTCAGCTCACATATTGGCCACAATTCCTGGGGGAAATCAATTTTCTCAGACAGCCAATCAAATGCAAGGAAATGCTTACATAGGAGGACGGATAACTCCCCAAGCCATGCAGCAAGGTTTGTCGAAGTCTATAACTCTGTTTAATTTAGAAATTATTTCTCGGAATTATTTTTCTGTTGACGATTTATTGCTAGGGTTGTTTGTACCTTCTTTCCAGTCTCATCACAGTCAATTGTGGTGCAGTTATTGGGTAGGAACTGGGAAAGCAGTCGATCACGTAATTTTTGGTATCGTTTGGGTCAGAGTAGTCTTGAGAAAAGCTAGTGTCTTTGACTTTGACTGACGCTTTGACAACACAATGAGTGAACGTATTTAGGTTTAATTAAAAAGTTAGTCGAGTTAGTGAGGTATGGTTCGTGATTAGTGAATATAGGCGGAATCCGCAAGAGTTTAGAAGTCAAGGCGTTCTACTCGACCGCGTAACAAATGCTCACGATGGGTTATTAAATTTAAAAAGTCTTAGAGCGCGCATGTTTACTAGTTACGCGTCACACTAGCTCGGTTCTGCTGAACAGGGTGAGATAAACGAGCTACAACGTTCTTAAGTTCTGAACGCACACGGTGACCTATTTTTTTGGCACAATTTTGGTGTACAGTTTATCTCCTTTGAAACAGAAAAATTAGCTGTAAGAAAAAAACTCATGGCTACAGCATGCACGAAGCCCCTGACTCGAAAATGCAAATTATGACCTTGAAAGCACAGACTCAAGGAACGTTTTAAGTTGATACTGAATAAAATTGCAAGATTTTTTCACAAATTTTATATTACATATATTCCATACACTGGAGACTTCTTACCTATCAAGTTATTATTGAAGTGTTACTTGACATAGCCCCACTTATAGCTACTGAAAACCTACTGCCAAGTGTTCATCGAACCGATGAAATAATGCGCACGATTAGTACCAGTACAGGCCCAAATCGGGTAAGCGTGACCCATCATATCTCTTTAGCAAGCACGGCTACGTACCTTTTTTTTTAGTTCTCAAACATAGATTCGTAGGGAATATTCAACAGAAGTTTCCAAAAGATCGTGACAACTTTTGTTTTTAGGGAATCACCTTAAATAGTCATGAATTATGAGGTTCCACGAATGTCAACGTTTTTAGGACTTGTTTTAATGGCTGCGGAGGCGCCCCTAATGATTTAGATAGGTGATAAAGTCGTATGACTTCAAGCAGCGTTAAATTTGTAATTTCAATGATTCATCTAATTACAAATATGATGCTTTTGAAATAACGGGTGTTAAAGGAGACCTATGCAGTATATTATATGAGTGATATCTATGGTCTTTCTCAATGTTATTATTTCTTGCACAACTTTCATTCAAGTGTCAAAAGGTTTGTATTGTATTGTGTCTGATATTTTCACAGCTCTTTATCAAGGAAATGCTGGAGTGAGTGGTATGACTTCAAATACCTCACCGGTGTCAGGCATGATGCATATGAACATGGGTATGAGTGGCATTACACAGCAACCTGCACAACAATCTGCAGCACCGGCAGGTAACACTTAATCACCTTGCTGTACCACTCTTCTCTTGATCTTATGTACAGGTGAAAATCATTGAAATAACCATCACTCAAAATGTAACGTGTCAGACAACATATGTTATTGTTTATAAGTTGGAAATTTTAAGCTTTTCTTTTACGATGAGGACACCAAATATGTGTAATTCTTGATTTATCCCTCTTCAGCTCAAATTGTAGGCTTTCCACAACAGCATCAGCAACAACTCAAGCAGCAGTACAGTCCTGCTCCACAACAACAGCAGTTTAATTTCCAACAGCAAGTGAACCAGATCAGCACAATGCAACAGCAGCAGCAGCAGCAGCAACAGCCGCACTATCCTCAACAAGTACAACAGCAGCAGCAGCAGCAGCAACAACACCAACAGCAGCAACAACCACCACTACAACAACAGCCGCAGCAACAGCAGCAGCAGCAAGTGGCTCCACACGTAGCAGCTATACCACCCCCTAAGGAAGCGGTAAGACAATCAACTAATAAAAAGGTTTGGAGACATAATTTTTGTGGAATTATACTCGTTATCTGTGCCTGATTCTTTTTTTTTTTAATTGTGTTTCCTATTTTTTAGCCGCCTCCCATATTTCTCGCTCCACCACCTAAACCTCAAAGGTTACATCATTCCGATGCTTATCTGAGGTACATTGAAGGACTTCGTGATGGGATCCCTCATATGAGCAATTGGAACCAGGCTCGCAAACCTGATGCTTCCAGTATGACGCCTCAACAACTGGCTCAGTTACCAATTCAGTGGCTGGGGTGTGGTTATGGCGACTATGAAAATGCTGTGGATGCTTTGTGGAATTTACGAGATCACATGCTTAGAGATGCGCTGACTCTATCCAAGGTCACAGAACAGTAGATACATTCACATAATTTATTTTAGAATGTTCTCATATCAGCACATGCTAAGAAGATGACTTTGTGTTTTATCAAGTTGTGAACGTGTTTGTTTGCCTTGTTATACACCTTTGTGTTTTGGGTGTTTTTGTTTCAGTAAAAGACTTTAAAGGTGTTTCCTCTGACTCAGCCTGTATTAACCTTTTTTGTAAATGTACTTATTCATAGAAGGAGTTAAATAAAATGGAACATATACCGTGACCTGTTGTTTGTCACTTTCGACGACCATTCGTTTGGCCCAAACTTGATAACTTAGCTTGTGCTACACCAAGGCCCTCCAAAGCTAATGAACTTGTTAAGTCCAAAAAAACTGAACAGCTACTATCTCGATCAGTCAGATATGCCAAGTATCTTACCACTACCACAATCGAGGACATTGAAATTATTGTGCGCCTTAGGAAAGTACTATTGTTCGACAAGAATGAACCTAGGGTCGAAAGAGGTAAAAGCTGATGTTTGATGTCGCTATGGGCTGTTGTGTTGGCGCAGAGGTTTGTGAGTTAGTCAGGCTCAACATATTACACTATCTGTCAACTGCATACTTAGACGGACTAGCGGTATTTAAAAATAGGAGAGCAAGGATTGATGACAAAACCAGAAAAGTCTTCTGCGAAGTTCTCTACGACCTTGGCTTAAAATTACAGCGCATAGTAACTGAAAAGGAGTCAATCACAGCGACAGTGACAGATACAATGACAGTATTGTTGATAATGAGAGTGACAGGTGCAGTGATAGAGACATCGATGGTTATAGTGAAAGCGACTTTAACAATGACATTGACGTTGACAGTGTATTGACTCTGACACTGACAATAACACTGGCAGTGACAATGAGAGACATGGAAAGTGACACTGACGGTGAGGCTGTGATAATGCAATGAAAGTAAAAATGACGGAGTCAGTGAGTGACAATTACAGAGACTGATAGTGACAATGAGAATGACAGTGACAGTGACAGTGACACTGACGTTGACAGTGAGAGTGAGAGGGGGAATGACAGTGACCGAGACAAAGACAGAGACAGTGTCTTTGTCGACGATCAAGACATGGATACTGGGAAATACAGTCGTGGATAATGGCTATGGTAAGCGTTACAGTTAAGGGCCCCAGGGATGTGATGAGGGTGAGGTAGGAGTTATGGTTTAGGGCAGGGGTCAGGGTTTAGGTTTGGCGATAGGTTTAGTATGACAAAGAAGGAGACAGTTAGCGTTATTGGGAGTGACAAAGACAGTAACAGAAACAGTGACGATGCTAATGATGATGACAGCGACAGTGACATTGAATTGACAAAGACATTAAAAGTGACAGTGATAATGACAAAGACCCATGTGTGACTGACATAGACAATAACAATGAGTGTGAGTGACAATGACAGAGACACATTGAGAGTGACAATCGACTGTTATTATGACAGTTACAATGACAGGAATAGCGAGAGTGACCGTCAGGGTGACAGAGTGATACAGAAACAGTGAAGAGATGGAGGCAGTGAGGGTCAGTGAGAGACATTCACATATGTAGTGAAAGTGACAGAGGCAATGACAGTGATGGTGACAGCGCGAGTTACAGAGAAAGTGACAGTGATAATCACTGTGACAAGTCAATGAAGCAAAATATTAACTTAAAACAACTCTTTATGGTGGCCAATTTACATCATCAACTCTAAACATTCACGAGTATGGAGGGACGATAAACGTTCTCAAAACGTAACAATTATAGATTAAAAGGAACTGACTCATGCAGATCAAATGAACTCAGCGAATAAAACAAACTTGTTAATAGACAGAACAGAAACAAAACATTTTTACAATAAATTGAGTTCCAGAACTATGTCAGACAACTTCTACGAGACTATCCTTCAAAAGCCATTCGACCTGAAAAATTGTGTAATGTCTAATGACTTATGAAGTGATCGCTCTTTTTCGCGCATGCGATGAGGCACAGCTGCCACAAATACAATTTCTCACGTCCTGCAGAAATTGCCTTTCTTCTTGCTTTTCGTCTTAGAAAATTTGATTGCGCAGCCTTTCACAGGTTAACACATCGACTTTACTTAATCGCCATTTTCCACTGAACATTTTTTATCAATTAAATTGCTATTGTCCCACATTTCCCTATCGTGAGCTGACGGGACTGGCCCTTTCACCAGTTTGCTCCGTCGTTCCCAGGCCGCCGCATAAGCTATGAGCGAGGGGTATGGGATTCAATAGTACTTTTCTGACTTCATCCGGATGGATATCTCTTGCCAGGGCACTGATTACGATATTTCTCAGCTGTTGCACAGAGCGAAGTCACTCTTAGTTCTTCGTCGGTTTGATGATGTGTTGGAGGTATGCACGGGAGCCTTTGAACTTGTCTCGAAGAGGAGAGATGACTCTCACCTGTCCAACGATTTATTCAGGTTTGAGCGTAACTAAAAGATATATAGCCAATATCAAGGCCAGCTGAGATTCGTCTTAAATGAAAGTCGTAAATGTGGTTGGGTTTTCAACGGTAAAATTTCGTAGCAATCAAAGTTGATCCTCAAGGAAACAAATTATTATTTAAAATAAGGGAGATCGAATGGAATATGATTGTTCCTTCTGGGGATGACAGACCACTAGTGACTTACTTTCAACCATACAATTCTTGTAATGTTATTTCAGAGAATTCAGTATTGGATCAACTAATTATCCTCTCTTGAACTGAATGCAAATCTTATTTTAAATACAGATGTGGTAATACCAGGTTGATGATAATTTTTTAATATGTTCCAGCTATTTTACCACATGTAGGAATTCAGATCAATGGACACATTTTGCAGTTATTGGAATTCAATACCAGGTTGATGATAATTTACAGGAACATTGGATAATATCGTTCCATTGAGTGTAGAATTTTGCTATTTTACCACATGTAGGAATTCAGATCAATGGACACATTTTGCAGTTATTGGAATTCAAGCCTTTGCAGAAATAAACCAGAGTCAAAAAGCTGTTACATTCACCACTAAAGCATTTGAACATTTTAGAAAGTTTCCAACAGAAGCCTTGGAATTGTGGCAAGTTTAATAGTGATCTAGTTTTAATTGATCATGTAACTACATTTGAACAATATATAAATGTTATTTGCCGGCTGGGAGGTCTGTATCAGAAAAAACTGTGCCCAAGGTCTTGAGTACCACTTGAGGCCTACAGCCTCGGGCAGAAAAACGAGATATATTTATGAAAAATGGTGATGAAGGTAAGGATGTATTCAGTGATATCCAAGGAATATTTGGGATGGATTTCATAAGTGTTCTCCTAATTGAATTTCAGACATTGCAATAAATCAGGAGCTCTTAAAAATGGTTGTTAAAGTTAACAATTGTGACCTCTCTCTAGTTCTGAAGTTATTAAAATGAATTTAATTTTGGAGTGTTTTACCTTGAAACATATGGAATTAATTGTTATTTTATTATTTTTTCAGCAAGGGGCTCAACACTTTGTTTCCCAAGAGCTAAATTTTGTATTCTTTGCAGTGTGTGTCTTCTTCTGAAAGCATCAAAGTACAAGGAGGCTGGGAAACTTGTTCAGGATTGGCTTTCTTGTGAAGATAATTTCTCTCAAGTTAAATATGTGAAAATAGCAGAAGTTTATGTCAAACATATTCTCTTTCCCCAACAATTGCATGAGGAGATAAAATGTTTTCTGGAGACCAATCAAGTCATTCCTTCCAGTGAGAAACAGGTTAGAAGTATAGTAAGTTGGCATTGTGGATAACGAGGATGGTATAGAACTGAAAGGGCTCACCTCCCCCCACTGTGGCATGGGTTGGATTCCCAGACCTGGTGTTACATGTGGGTTGAGTTTTGATTGGTTCTTTTCCTTGATCTTAGGGGTTTTCTCTGGGTTTTCCACTTTTCTTCCCTCCACAAAAACCAATATTACAAATTTCAGTTCAATTTGGGATCAGAGGACAAGAAGAGACACCTCATAGAATGTCCGCTGCTTAATCCCATTATTACTATTTATTATTATTACTTTAGAACCTTAACACCTTTTAGGAAAATAACTATCTCTTGAAAACACTCTGTGTGAAAGTACTCTCTTATGATACTAAAAAGACTTAAAACAGCCTGACAAAGCTCAAACTCAAGTTCATAATGAAACATTTTTCTTGAAAGCTACCCAAACTGTTAATAGATTTAAAAAGAGAAATGTGTCTAATTCTTAAAACCATCAATGCAATTTTCAGGTTCCTAGCTACATTTATAATGGTCAAATGGAAAAATCTAGAGAAAAAACCTTCACTTTTCTTACTATTCTGCAACATTTTTGGCTTATTAGATCTTTCTCCCCTGTGAGATTCCCAAGCATCTTTTGGACACCCTCAATATTGACGATTTTAGATATATGAAAATTCACATATTTGCACTGCGGTGGAGAGATGATATTAACAGATCCTCGCAGCTAAGAACACTACTGAAACTAGTAGTTGTAAATAGGACCTGAAAAAAATTCAGGCCCGTACGGGATTTGAACCCATGACCATTGAGCTAACAAGCCAACTGGGAGCTGGTCAATGAATTGGGTACAAATAAACATCCAAGTGAATGACGATTTTAGATATATGAAAATTCACATATTTGCACTGCGGTGGAGAGATGATATTAACAGATCCTCGCAGCTAAGAACACTACTGAAACTAGTAGTTGTAAATAGGACCTGAAAAAAATTCAGGCCCGTACGGGATTTGAACCCATGACCTCTGCAATACCGGTGCAGCGCTCTACCAATTGAGCTAACAATTCATTGACCAGCTCCCAGTTGGCTTGTTAGCTCAATTGGTAGAGCGCTGCACCGGTATCGCAGAGGTCATGGGTTCAAATCCCGTACGGGCCTGAATATTTTCAGGTCCTATTTACAACTACTAGTTTCAGTAGTGTTCTTAGCTGCAAGGATCTGTTAATATCATCTCTCCACCACAGTGCAAATATGTGAATTTTCATATATCTAAAATCGTCATTCACTTGGATGTTTATTTGTACCCAATTCATTGACCAGCTCCCAGTTGGCTTGTTAGCTCAATTGGTAGAGCGCTGCACCGGTATCGCAGAGGTCATGGGTTCAAATCCCGTACGGGCCTGAATTTTTTTCAGGTCCTATTTACAACTACTAGTTTCAGTAGTGTTCTTAGCTGCGAGGATCTGTTAATATCAACCCTCAATATTGTAAATAATTTTACATTTCTCTTCCAGGTACTTTTCCAGTTCACAAAACCTTTTGCTGATGAGAAGGTATTTTATGATTGACTTCACGATATAATTAGTATTTAAATAAGTAAAATATCACATTAAAGAAATTTTTTTGGCAGGGGTTCTCCACTGTGGCTGTTTCACTCTATCATCAGAATGAAGTTACAGTTTCCATTTTTCTGTACTTGTATCCTCTCTCAGGATGCTCTTACAGTTGACCCAATCAACCTAAAAGCTCTTTTATTTATAAGCAATGAAAAGGTCTGCTCTCTTTACCCATCCATGCAAATATCATCAATTTTAGCTGAAACTCATTTTAAGTATTTTGACAAAGTAAATGACCACTGTTGAACCAAAACTATAAAAAAAATGTATATAACACTACAAATTTAGACTCTGTGCGTTCATCTATGAAGGCTTACTTTTTGACTTTTTGTCATTATCTTTGGATGTTAGGTTGAAAGGTGTAACATGTCACATGAGCTAACAGCCCCTGCTCAACTTCCAGCAGAACATAGTAAGTACACTTAGTAACTTACTATTAATGTTTAAAGGGATCACCTAATTGTGCAGCCACAGTAATGGCTCTTGTAACATTTTTGTTCTGTAGTATGTGTTATTTTTGTAGGCTTCAGAACCACCGTATGATGCAACAAAATTAACATAGGGGTGTGGGCCAAACATAAGCATTCAAAGCCCTGAAATATTGGTGGAAGATACTGGTCGGTCATGAACTGTCTTCAAATTTTCATAGTTGCCTTGAGAACTATGCTTTTCAGGCCAACTGTACATTTTTCAAACTGTATTTCAGCCTCAGGTCATATGCTCCAATTTGCCAGCCATTGGAATGGATTTATTTCATAAAAAGCTGTGACAATTGATTTTATTACAGAAGAACTCTATAATATATCTGAGAATGCCTTAAACCATACATTTGCTGAAGTGATTAACATTTAACTTCTCCCCACGATATTCATACATTATCCTTCAAAAAGGTAACGAGAATACTCAAACTTATCAGGTAGAAGTTATTATCATAGTCTGACACCAAATTCTTCTAACTGACTTACAATGAAATTTTTAGAAGTTCAGGGGAGAATTAACAATTACGTCTTGAGAGTTGAAAGGTTAATGCAAAGAACTGATTGCCATGGATTAAAAGTTGTAGACCTAATAGAATGAAATAACTACAGTTTTCCGTTCTTAATGTGTTCAAATTTTAGTATGTTTTTTTTTCCATTTTTCATTTTGGTAGGTGTTGCCAATAGATGGCTAAGAGTGAGGGCAGTCGTACAAAAGCTTCAGAGCCTGTACCGGATCGTCCTCTTCCATCAGAAAACGAGGATTCTTGTGAGAATGATTATCCTTTTGTTTTTCATTTACTGCTTCATCTCAGCGAGTAGTTATCAAGGTAACTTTTCATCGGAAAGTTGTCTTTTTGTTACTGTTCTGGAATACTAACCCCTTGTACGAAGTCTTTTTTCAGTGTTAATTCTCCTTAACGCCTCGTTAGCATTTTCCTATTCGCGGTAATTTTCGTTTAATTTTCATCCTTTTCATTCTCGGAAAAAAATTATGATACATTACTTGAGTGCACCGAGAAATCTTGCTCCTAATTTTGCTTTTAACAGGAGTGAACAAAGGTTCAGGAATATTCAGTCTGTGGCTTGCTGTGTTAAACGCTTGGAGAGCATTGATTAGTCCTACTAAGTGATAAAACCCAACACTAGCAGGTATGAACTCGGGCGGAGACGAACGAGACGTACTTATGGACGTAAAACTCCAAGAGTGAAGGAAAAGTAGAGACTGGAGAACAAACTGACCAAACTGAAGTGCCTGAGCTTCATATGCTGCTTACACAAATATCTTTTAAAATCGATCAAAAGAAAGGCGAGTACCATGAGCCATCCATCTGAGGAAAATTGCTAAGGAATGCTGAGAGATATCGGATAATTTTTATTCAAGACGAGTGAGAAATCTCAAATCAATTGCAACGAACAAGGAGAAATTATCTCTCTTACAATCTGAACAAGAGCTGAAGTGGCTACAAACTGGAGCAGAATGTTTGAGGTTTAAATACATAAGGAAAGCAATGTTTGAAGTAGAGTTTAACTTCTGTTAGTTGAGCTCAGATTAACAAAAGGACTGTGACAATACTCTAGCTATTCTTCGGTGAAACTGTGTGTTGGTTTTCGTGCTTTGTAGGTGTCATGAGTATCCAAGAAAATAAAGAACCATGATACATTAACAGACCCCGAGTGTGAAGAAAGACGCGCAGCAAACAACAACAAAAGCGTTAAAACGAGATAATACAGCGATCAATACTGTCTAATGAAACATTAAATCGAACTCTATGTGAACACTGACGAGCTCGTGGTAAGTAACTCACGGTGATAAATGTTAAACAAACAGTTCGTTAAGGAAACTGTAACAGGGCTTCAGGCAGTCGAGTTTTCTAAAGGATGTTTGTTGCATCTGCGCTTAAAACAAGACTAATGCTAGGTGTTTCTTCTCTTGGAAGACTACTGATGTTGCGATGAGATATTTATCTCAGTCTTACAGACACTTCATGTTGTTACGTTTCATTGGCTAAGGATGATGTAAGTCAAAGGCTAAAGTTCATTCCCAATGTGAGTCGGTTTTCTGTTGTCATTAATAAAAGAAAAAATAAACGAAAAAACATATCTTAAAACCATTCGGTGTCTGTGGGTAAGGATTTTTTAACATTTTCGAGCGTGATTGGTTGTAACTAGCCCGATTTGAGCACTAATAGGACAGTGTACTTGTCATGCTTGTAACTGGACAGTGCAATAGGACAGTTGAACTATCATGCCTGTGTAAGTGGACAGCGAGCGTCATGATCGAGCTGTTGTCGCGCATTTCGCCGAATTAACAATTGTCTTTTTTCATGTGGAAAAGTATAACCGATATCTAGTTTAATTCTCAAATTTCGTCATAGCTTTAATTAATTGGTAACAAGACTTCGTGTCGTCCCATTCTGTCTGTGGTCATACTCGTGAATAAGAAATCACACCTTCTCCTCGAGGTCGTTCGATTTTGTAATCACTTGTATAATGACAGACTGAATTGGACTCCACTCAGTCCCAGTACCATTTTTAATAGATCTGTCTAATGCGAGTTTGTATGGAAGTAGTCTGTTAGGACGTCAACTGAAGTATTCATGATGAGTAGTGGTTTTAGTGCAGTAAGTAAAGAGCTTGTAAATCATATAAATTCCCCAGATTTTTACCCATTTTACAAGTAAACTCCAAATTTTTAAAGAGCTTGCAAAACCGGTTACGACGTCGAATGAAATTACGACGCACGGGTATTCAGAAATAGTGTTTATTTACCGTTGGCTTCAAAACAGAGATTATGCAGTATACGTCTGAGTAATGTTAAATTCTTTGTACATCTGTTTCCCATCAGGAGTCGTCAAGTAATTGGAATGGAATAGATTAACAGATTACAGAAAGTTTACTCTTTGGCATTGTATTCAGATGCTCCAAATATTTTCATTGTGGAAACAAGAATCAAGAGCTTTTAAAACTTATATGTAGTATCGAGTTTTAGGGTTCATATAAATGAAACAAAACTTTTGAAGAAAAGAAAGAAATAGAGCAAATAAACGTTACGAATCATTTTCACTCTGATTAGAAAGCTAAACGTATATAGTGATCTTAAAAGTTATTTGTAGAGTCACGTTTCAGGGTTCGTGTATTAGTGGGAAAATGAAAAAAAAAAGTCTTTAAAAAACGTAGAAATGATAGAAGGTTAGTAAACGTTGCAAAGATCCTTCATGAAACGTTAAAAAGGGGAATGAGATTTCCAGTGATCCAGAATTGAAAGTTGAACCAGGCCTAAGAAAAAAAGAATCACAAGTTAATAGGTTTCTTTACTCGGTTGTGACCGTCACAGACTTTAACTAACATCGGTTCTATTAGAATTTGGGACAAAATAAGATACGAATGACACTGAGCTTAAGAGTGGAGATCGTCTTGTAGCCATAGCGTTACTTTCTCTCTAGCTAGTGAGGCTGTTGATGGTTTTGCCCTCATTTATGTTCTGTGTGAGCTTCTTGTGTAAAAGTTGATGATGTTTGGTAAAATTTCCTTTCCTGGTGAACAGGAGAGGTTATTACGTCAGTATTAACATACCTTACTGTGAGAGGTCAGACTTAACAGCTTCGCTGCTTAAGTCTTTTTGGATCGATTCTTTCGGCTCTTCTCCTTCAGTATGTATAATCTGAGCATACTTAGCAGGAGCATTCGCAAAGACAGACTGTGCTGACTGAAGGTCTTCTCCGAACGAGCTTTTACGTCGAGACTTGGAAGTGGCAACACGAACACACTGCATAGAAAATTATAGCCCGACTGTCAGTATGTTTCTAACTCAGAAACACAACGAGTGCTCGAACTCTCTTAGGTATGATAGTTGGGAAGGGAGAAGGCTTAGATTAAGACTGCCGACCAATCTATGCAGAAAAATTATATTTTCTAATAAACGAAAGGCAAACCTTGTAGTCAGTAGGCAGTAGGCAGTGCTCATCAGGGCGGCACAATTGGTGTCAGCTTGAAGCACTGCGATGTGTTAATGACAAGACTACCTGACAATTTATCTTTCTTACATGGATTTTACCAAAAAAGTACTCAAACGACGTTACTTTATGAAGGTGCTAAACCTACATGCCCATTGGTTAGTAAGATGATGCGCACATTATATAACGAGGTCACCCTTTCAGTAATTCCTATATTCATTTTTAACTCTGATGGACTCCTCTTTCGGAGTCTTTGTACATACCGATCTAGTATGTAAAGCCTCAGAGTTCTTTTTCCTTGTTTCGATGCTTGGAGAAATGATGGAGCGAGCTATAGCCAGTTCTTCCTTCTCGGTGCATACCCCTTGGTCCTTGCTAAGGGCTTTGAGAACTTTTCGATTTTCCCGTGATTTTTGTTTGCCAACTTTAACTCGGGCCTCTTTAAGGGCGGATTGGTTGGAAGAAACTTGTTTGCCAATCTTTTCACCCTTTATATACCTTTCAAGTTTTCCAACGACTGCTGTGTACCAAGATCTGCCAACATGTTTACCAATGGTTTATTTTTTTAGTAATTAGCTACTCGTGCTGTTGAAATGAACTTATTTCTTTTGTGGACTTTCCATTTACTATATATGGCTTTCGCAACAATAATTGAAATCGCATACAGTGTTTCAAATTAATTGAACTTCTGTTTTGAAGTGATCGACATATCTCCACAAGACTTCACTGTTCATTCTTTCTCCTTTTCTATTTCATCTCAAAAGGCGAGTTCGCCGGCTCCAGATAACATGTGATTATTATTTCCGCTGTTCAGATCTATACATAGAAATTTACTAATCACCGCTTTTCGAGATTTCAGAGAGTTTCCATACTTTTTTGAGAACAGTCTCCCAACGTGCTGAAAACTCGATCATACAGCGTTTTACCTATAAAGCAGTGGAACAGTTTGCCCGCCACCCTAACCACAGCCCCAAGTCTTAATGTTTTTGAGAACGGGGTCTCAAATCCGAATCCGAGCGTATAAGCCTTGTAGAGAGGGAATGCTTGTAATATGGTAAATGTAAATGTAGATGGACAACTAAGTTACTTGGCCGTAAATGCAAAACAGTACATGCGGTTCTCCGACAGCTGCTGCTCTGATTTTCGCTGTAAATCATTGTGTTGAAATTGCCCTTTCGCAAGTCTACTAACTGCGCAAACAGCTCGCCAAGAGTTGTTAAATAGAAAAGTAAAGGATGGTTTTGCGTGTCAAAGGAGAAATCAGGTTGCTTTCCAGGATTCAAAATGGCAACGTCTATTGTCGAAGACAATTTTTTAAAGTTTTGGTTATTTTTGGTCTCACCCTTCAAACGCAGTCAGTTTCATAGGATCATATCTTCTTTTTACCGGTGGAGATGAACACTGATCGGTCTCTGATACGTACTTCTCCTTTAGCCCTTTACATTCTTACATTAGTATGCATAATCCTCATACTTTTCTCGATACATTTCCTTAGGTGCTGAAAAGGAGAATTTGTGTAACAATCAGGAGCTTCTTTAGTTTCCTTTTTTTCTGGTGACCTTCATGTTCGATTCAGGGGTGATATTGTAGGGACAGAGTAAATGATTCAGTGACAAGTAGCTGATGCGAGCTAAATTATAATGAATGCTTCACTCGCTCGTCTTTACCTGCGAAAAAAGACCAGGGCCACAGCTGCCGCGACTACAAAAATAACCACCACCAACCATAGAGCTCCACCCCCGCCACTTTCAGTTGCGGCCTCGTGCTTGGACTTCGCTGTGTGAACCGTTGATACGAGATTCTTTTTAGGAGTGTTAGGAACATTCAATGAACCTGAACCTGCACCTGAACCATCACGTCTACTTTCACTGCTCCAATCCTCGTCATCGACAGGATAGTTTTCATCCCAATCTGATAAATACATAGATGATATAAAGAGAGGTAACATTGACCGGTGCTATAATTAAGCTAGTTTAAAGCACTTTACCTCATGTGTTTCACTTCTGAATGATACCTAGACACATCGAACAACCTTTAATAAAGCTAACGTTTCGCATTCACCGTGCCAGAATCGAAGTTAATCGTATTCAATAATGCACATTAGAGGTGTGGTGTTAAAAATCTTGCTACAGCAGCTCCATTTAAAAAATCATTTTCATCGAGTCATAACCTTCAGGATCTCTCAGTTTGAAAAAATTATGTGAAACCTTCATTCAATCATAACGCGATTAGTTACGGAGGACTGGAATATGAAAACCACCTCCAAACACGGCTTCCATTAAGCACTTTAAAATTCTGTTCACTGGCAGCTGCACGCTTGAAGTTGTCGTGTGCTGAACGCTATCATAACAAATCTTACTTTGAGAAACAAATGCAGCCGGCCTTTACTTCTGAAAAGAAAATACCGATTTGCATCAATTTCCAATCAAATGAGCCGATAGCACACCACTGACTATAAAACAAAATTGATACCATGATCTGTAAGGGGAAAAGTGACTGATCTCTTGAAAAGCGGAGGAGTGAGTTGCAATTTATTTCCTTTTCCGTGGTTCAAAATGCAAAAAGATTGGAAAACCAAAGACCGGTGGAAAAAACTTAAATAAAAAACTGTGCATGATTACCCTCGTTATGTCTGGAACATAACTGAAGAACCCTATGATTTCACGACCTTTGACGTGCTAAAATTTAGTGAAATGCGAGAAAAAATATCTCGTTTATATCGAACAATCCGAAACCTATGTAGTATTGACCTGTGGTTTCTATTGTTTAGTAAAGCAAAAAAAAAAAATAATAATAATAATAATCACGGGCGCGCGCGGCTTGTGCTGGCATGAGGAAATAGCTTAGGCGTTGCTTATCAATCAGGGATCAGGGATTAAACATCACCTCAATTATGTCATGAAATAATTGTGGCTTTAAACAAACTGAGTCAACCAACCCGTTCGCATTTTTCTAATGCATAAACAATTGGATGCGAGCAATGTTTGCTAATTTCGGCGTGCCTGGTGGTTCGGTCTGTTGATAAAAGTCTCTGTAACGGGCTATTAATCCGATACAGTACTTAACAATGGCGCTTCCGACACCTTACGTTTCGTACCTTGTATTGGCCGACACTCTACACCTTCGTTTAGAATTAACAACAGAAGCAGCGCTCTGCAGCTGAGTGCTAGAAAAGGCTTCATAGTGAAACCTTGACAGCGACGAAACATTCGTCTCTGACACTCTGTTGTACCATGCGTGATTATGACGTAGATAATTATGATGGAAGATGATTAATGATGGTAATTGAACTGACTGGAGTGCAATTTGGGCTGAAATCATACGCGTGATTTCAGACTAAAATTGTACGACACGAGATTCAATTATCACTTTATTACATTCATTTTGAAATCGCCCAAATACAGGCCTTGGTCAGTTCAAATATTTTATTGATGCAGTACTAAGCCAGTTTGAAATTAAATTGATCCATTTTTTTTTTTGGGGGGGGGGGGGGAAGTAAGAGTTTTGGAAACAAAGGTTGCAAAATTTGCCAATGATACTCTTTGTCTTTCATTTTCCTGCAGTTTGATTGGTTACTTTAAACAAGCCTTGATATCTGATTGGTTGTTTCATTTTTAGTGTAGCTTCCTCATTGGCTGGGAAAAAGATGCGATTTAAAGCAAAAAATGGTGCGATTCGTGAATAAATCGCACCAAATAGAGCCAATCAGATTGCAGGGACCACCAGTGATTTCAAAATGGGTGTAACAAATATTGTTACTAGTTCTCTCCTCATCAGTTAAAAACGCAAGACCAAAGAAAAAGAAGAAAATAAAGGGCAAAACATGTTAAACGTTAAGCAAACATAAATAAGGTTTGAAGTCAAGGGCAACAATAAATCACGTTAAATGATTTTCCGGAAGAAATTACTCCTGAGAAAAAGAGTCTTCAATAACAGGAACTAATTCATCATCAGAACTAAGCGAGGGCGTAGTTTGTCAGTCGAACGCAATGAGTCTGAACCGTGAAACTAAGTTTTTCTGTGAGCTTATTGGCTGTGGGACTCAGGGAGTGTGCGCTGGTTATGTTTGGTCTTTCTTATCCACTCTATTTGTTTTACCGAACGGTTTCAAGTGTTTTTTTTTTCAAAGGTGTAACAATTTATGTATGGCTCTTGTTTCAGCCAATTAGACCAACAAGTTAACTCGCACTTTTTTAAATTTCGCATGTCGTTGATAAGCCAATTTCTCTCGGCGTCACTCCCGATAGCTTTATCTCTCAGAGGTTCAAGTTAGCAATGAGCCTCTCAACTCTATATATGAAACCCAAGGCTCAGTTTATCCAACCAGTGATACTTTAAAAGACTCTTTCTAATCTCTTTATAGAGGATAATGTTTCGTTGTTGTTCTATTCGGCTGAATTGAAGTCTCCTCATTAGCACCACAAGAAACATATTCAAACAACAGTGTAGGGATTGATTATGATGTGACTGCCTATCAATTAACCGATGCAGGACACGGGGCCTCTGCTTAGTTGTGTGGTAGTATCTCACGTTTCGCTTTTCATTCAAGGTAGGGGGCGGGTTAGCCTCATTTCAGGCGAGGCTACACTTCGGCTACATCTCCACTTGGAAAAGTTTTCTTTTTCGCCCTTGACAGACTACCCATGTGAGCACACAGAAGGGGCTTGTTACACTTGAAATATCAAACATCGAAACAAAAGCGACTCGAGACCTTGAGCGTAAGGTGGGTGACCCTCTCTTCATTTCATTTTGTTGTGAACTTAATGGCCAAAGAAGATGAAATTGAGCTCATTTGTGTCACCGTATGAGTCAGTTCAGCCACAAGAATCTGACGTGGCGCGGGAATTGATCATGTTGAAATATTTCTCTCTCTCTGTTCAGACTTACTAGCTAATTATACGGCGCCAGCTTGTAATACGCATTCAATAACTATGATTTAAAATCAGGGATTTTGAAATACAGTGGGTAAGAACGTAAATACGAAATTTCGCTGAAGAGAGTTAGTACTCGCGATCACGCTACGCGGTCGAGACCGAAAGATGACAAAGTCCATGTAGTTATTTTCAAGTGAACGGCGTCTTGACAGAAAATCGCGGGCTGACGTGACTCACATACTTTGCATACATAGTTTTATTTTTCCCGCCACTCAGGCGTAAGCCTTAGTACATGTCATGCTTTTGCTTTCATTTCCATACTTCTTAACACTTGTTAATGAGCTAAGTTGATATTCGGTCCTACACGATATCGTTACTGACAAGTCATAAGTACGCTATGTTTGAGTCAAAAACAGTTTGGAGATGGGATCACAGAATCAAGATGCGATGTTTTACGGCGAGGTCAGCGGCTTCCTTCACTTTGGTCTCTAGTACAAGCTGAGCTCTCTCAGAGAACGGAATAAACACATTATACTGCTTGAAACTGGACATCTTGTCGACAGCTTCCCGTCCAGCTTCAATGTGTTGAACGACTTCTTGGTTCCAGACCAAAGCTTGCCCTGTTATGATTGAATTGGCTTCATTTTCATAATAGGCCCCGCCAAAAAACACACCCACTAGGATCCACTTCTCCCCGACACGCTGAATTACAGGGCAACCCGATGCTCCGCTATCAAAGGAAAACGCAAAGTTGATCACTTTTAGATCCATATGTTTGTACACTTCATACGTTTCGATGTCGTATGCAAATTTCTTGCGGTCATTTTGTCCACTGCCAAAATGAATAATTGTTAGTGGATCCGTGGATTTCAAGCTGAATTGCTCATCTCCGGTGGGAGTGAATGTTTTTTCCAACAACGAGGTAAAATTGAACAAATCGGACTGCTCAAGGAGTTGCTGCTCGTCTATTTCCCATTCTTCCAGATCATCTTTTTTCCTCCCGTAAGTGTACTGAAAGCCAAGTTTGACCAATACGATATCTCGGTTATGATAATCAGGCCTTCGACCTGCGGGAAGCAAGCGGTGAACTATTGCTCTTCGGGGCCTCGCTTCAAATGAAATTTCAGTTCCTGGCGGGAAGAAAACGAATCTTGCCATGTTAACTTTATCACGATTTCGAAGAACGTGAGCAGCAGTGAGAATCCATCCATCACCAAAATGAAAACCAGTTCCAGTGTAGTTAGGGCCATTCTCTTGAGCGACTTCGATTCGACATATACCCGAGCCAAACTGCTGGAGTTTGCTCAGCGTTTCGTTTAAATTCGTGGTCTTTACGAGCCGACTTCGATAGTTGTCATCGACTTCAAGCGTTGAAATGGTCTTCCTTTTCAACTTTTCTCCACCTTCGATGAGCTTTTGGATTTCTTCTTCATACAGAAACTTTCGGCCTCGCGAATAACGCCTGTTGATAAAGCCACAAGACATGGCGGCGAGAATGAGCTCATTACAATTCTAACACTTTGACAGACGAGAATTTAAACAGAACTAAAATGAAAAGCTTCAAACAGCTGCAAACCTGTTGTCTTGGCGACGTCAATTTTTTTGCAGACATTTTTATTTGCGGGTACAGATCTCGAAGCGTAACTCTGATAGTGTTTGTGAATGAACGATAGCATATCGCTGTTAAATGATTTTTTAGGATTTAAAAAACCCAGGGTTACAATTGTAAGGATGTCGCGGAGAGAAAAGATATACCTTTGAATTCATCAACTAAAAGCATTAAGTAAAGTGATTGTCTTTGTGGGGACAAAAGGTTACTATTCATATGCAAATACATGCTGAAAATTTTAGTTTCCCAACGCTTTTTCTCTGACAGTTTGTCAAAACTGACTGGATTTTCAAATTCATTTGCGCCATGTTTACTTTACCCATTGTTTATGTTATTTGAAAATATGCTAAACGACAAAATTTTTTCAAGCCTGGAAACGATGTTAATTACTTAATAGAAACCTTTCCCTTGAACACCGCAATTTAGCGCCCAGTGAGGTGCTGTAAAGGAGAGGATAACAATGATATAATACGGCTCCTTGTGGATAATGAATCGGAACTGTTTTTGTTTTGTAAGCCATTCAGGTGGCTGTGATATTTGGTTGCTAATCTTTCTACCCTTTTTTCTCTTTTATTCCTTTCCAGTATTGGTCCAGTGTAGTTAATTACTGGCTTGGATGATTGTTCGCCTGTCAGTCCATCAAACCTCTTTGCTGAATTCTGTAATATATATATAATTAAATTCACAATTTTTAATTTTGTTTTCAAGTGAATTAGCATTATTTATAATTGCACGGTCTAAATTCAGCAATCGGCTCCGTCTTCTTGTCTGTAGTCTACGGGGTTCTTCATGATATCGTTAGTTGTATCATGACCTATCATGTCAACCAAGAAAGCCTTCTTTTGTATTAAGGTGTTAGGTTAGAATACAGTGAAGTCCCATCAGGATTATAACGAACCTAAGACATCTCGAACTTCTCCAAAAGCATTCTTTAGACTTACGGCACAATATCACTTGTTCTACCCTTTTCTTTCAAGCCCTTAAGATAACTGTAGTTCTCTCATGTCTTTTCACAATGTCAAACTTGATTCAAATCATCTACATGGATTTCATGGTGTAGAGCCCGAGGCATCTGAACGTTGATTGTTGATGTCCCCATTTCACTGGGCTCTGCTGCACCCTTCTGGGACATTATATGCACAAAAGAAAAAAAAGCGTGAGGACTTGTGGGTGAGGCTCGTGACTCTGCTATGGCATGCTATACACCGTCAACTGAGGTAAAATTTAAAAAAATCATGTTTCCTGTTTTTTTTCTTTAATATTTTGTTCAATTTCGATTAAATTTAACAGAAATTAGACGTGATGTTGTCGCGAGGACAGAGTAATAATTGCTCATTTTTTTTTCCTGAGGGAAAACGTCAACGAATTATGAAATCTGATTGGTTCTTAGCGCGGTCTGCATTATCCTATCTCTACCTACGGGCACGGTAACACTTTCTCCAGACGCCGAGTACATCCCTAGCTTCGTTACCATTATTTATAAATGCATATTGCTCGTGACCTCAAGCCGATAAAAACCTTAATAATTATTTCATCACTCACCTAAATCACTTTGGAAATTGGTTTTTGAATTGAGTTTTTGATTGCAGACATCAAGCGATGAAAGGAAGTTCGAACAAAGTGCACTCCAAAGGATTAACGTCCTACAACAGCCACAAATAGCGGCCTCTGAAGCGGAAAGGGTACATGTGTTTTATGCGTGGAAAATATTAGCAAAAATTTAAGAACGAAAACTTCCGGCCGCATCAGTGTTATCTTCAGCGTTATTCTGGAGTATCATCGACGATCTTTGCAAGATCTCTAAAACTTAAAGAGGACTGCGAAATGCTATGATTGGTCCAAAAAGTTAAAGCATTTTAAATGGTTTAACTATATAAAATGGTTTAACTAGCAATAAATGATCTTACTAAAGAAAATGGTCTGCCTTGTAGAAATGGTTGAACCAGAAAAAATGGTCCTGCTTGTTAAAATAGTCCAAGTTGTTAAAATGAGTCAACTAGATAAAAGGGTCCAAGAACTCGAAATGGTCTAACTAGAAAAAGTGGTCCAACTATTAAAAATAAAACCATCCGTAACACGTAAACTCTCATGTACATGCCACTGGTCCCCAAAAGAGTCAATTTGAAGAAAAGAAGATGAGGTACGGACACATCCTCGTGAAAACCAATCAGATGTTCCATTGAAAGAATAAACCATTCAATCTGCATTTTCGTTCTTGTGAGAAATAAAAGAACTGCATCTCCGATCTGTATTTTCAAAGAAAGGCTACGTAAGGTAAAACTCTTTTCGAAAGTCCAGTTCTTAACGGATTTGTATATTACTTTAAACTATTCTTTTGAGAGGTAAGTCGGTGTTCCCCATAAAAAATTCTAAACTACATCTTCCAGTAAGGTAGTTTTTAGAAGAAGGAAGGGAACTCTGATGTTTCCTTTTGCGCATCTTCTTTAGGAAGACGCGATCCCTAGTCCCAGATATTCATTAAAAAATGGAATAGGAGGGAATCAAACCCTCCTGAGACATTAAATACTCTTTGGTATAACACAAAGAGGTAAGGAGACAGTGGAAGATTCACTGTGAAATTCAACTTAAGTTTGCATAAACTGACAACATCACACTTTATTTTTTCAGAATTACACTAAATATAGTTTACCTTATTAAATAGTATTTCCACCTAAATGGCCACCTCTTTTGGCATTACGACAAAAAATACTTTTGCACAGACCTCTTTCATAACTGGCACATCTGATTGTTGCACTATTAAATTCATGCATATTAAAGAATAATACTTGTGCCCACTATTATAAAAGGATTCTATGCCATATATTTATCATTCTCATTTTGTTAATTTTGAAAAATACATCATCAGAAAGATTCCTTAAGATTATCTTTCATGACTAACTACTCGTTATTGAAACTTGTTTTGTTCAATTTTTTAAATAGTTGGTTCTCCATTTCCAACAAAACCATCTAGAATGATTTGACGTAAAGCTTTCATGAAGAGCTGATTTCTTTGTGTTAGCTATGTTTTTGCTGTTAATTTAGTTTAGCATCAAAGGTTTTAGGCCACTTTTACAGGATCTCAGGAATTCAATAAATAAGTTTAATATGTAAATTATTGAAAGAGATTCCTCTTCTACCTTGTTGTGATCTAGAGAGTATCACAATCATTTTAGATTCACCTAGACCTTACCTATAAAGGAAATCACATGGCCACACCTGGATGCAAATTTTATCAATGAGATGTTACAACAGCTCTCAAGAGTGAATGTAGCGTACAAGTGAAAAATATCATGAATAGGAGAGGATTGATCAATACTCACAAGTGGACATGTTGCACTCTGTTATGGATACTAACTAAATATTATATACTAACTTCTTATTAACTGAGTGCAAGAGCTGTACTGGGGAATATTGGCCTGAAGTCATAACAGTATGGACCGAGTGCAGAGAGGTCCATACAAAAATGAATGAGGGCCAATATTCCCCAATATGGTAGTAATTAGTTTATCATATGGCACTCAGACCACACTTGTTTGTTTTGAATTTGCTGGCTTTCGCCAACAAAAATATATGGCTTACAACCATTTTCATTGAAGCAGTCTGTATGGCAAAATACTGACTGGGTGAGAACCAATCAGATGGCTCGGATTTACCCTAGGACTACCTAACCTAGTATATATTAAAACTCTGGATATCCTTTCTTATTAACCTCAGAGCAACACAAGAAGTATTTGTGCTTGAAAATATAGTAATCATTGCAGGAATAAATTACTTCAAATCAACTTTTTGTGCTATATTATATCACTGTTTTAGCACATACAAAAACAACTGTTCATGTCAGTGTCAGTGGCTAGCCTTGGATTTATACCTTGCATGGTAAATATCCAACACTAGCCACCTCCACTTCCATGAACGGTTGTTGATTATCATACAGTTAGGAAGAAACTGAAAAGCATTTACTAAAAACCCTATAATTAATCAACATTCAACAAAATGGTTTGTCTGAAGGAAAACATCTGTGTGATGTTCTTGGCTGCACCAAGATGAAGTAGTTTCTTCAGGTATGGGTGTCTCATCATCTTTTTCAACTCCACATGAACTTAGATAGTCAGTATATAATGCCCTTGCTTTCATTAAAGTTTTATGAAGGTCATGCTTGCGTACCAATTTGTCAAAGTACATGGCAAGTGCATTATAATCCATCTCTTTGTTCATACAGTGATCTTTGTGAAGAGACAGTATGGCCAAACACAAAAAAAGAACAAATGGATTCCCACCACCAAGATGATATGGGCCTGGCAACTCAATCAGTTTCATTTCTTGATCAACAGATTTTGAGGTAAATGGATAGAATCCATCATCTTCCAAATCACTATCCCATTCATCTTCACTATCATTATTACTGTTATTAACTGTATGGTAACCATTCTGTTTTAAAATGGCAGCAGCAGCAGAGTTACCTCTGGGTAAGCCAGAAACCATATTTGAAGCACGGGCTGCTGATTCTGCTGGCAGGGTCAGTGAACTCCAAATCACCTCCATTAACTGAACAGCATCATCAAATGGAAATTCTCTCTTCAAATCAAGGAGAAGCCAACGATAGCAGAAGAACATGTCATCTGCTCCAATATCCATCAGATACTTAAAGAACTCTGGTTCCATGCGATTAACCAATTGTGACAGATGGTCAAATTTCAGTGTCATTGCTTTACCATTTAAAAGGAAGTGTCCTTTTATTCTTTCCATCAGACAACAAAAGCAAGTATACGCTACTGCTTCATCATCTAAAATGACAAGAATAGGTGCTGCCAGATCACTCATCCCTTGTGCATAAGATACATCAGGATTTTCTAATGCATATGTTGTCAAGATGTTAAATAAATAATCCATGTGTTCATGATCATCAGGGACTGCAAAATAGGGATGAGTTCTGTCTGTTCGTAAAACATCCTTCATAATCAAATGGGTGATGGATTCTATCTCTAAGGGACATTTTCTCTTCCATTTTGACTTCAGATGACAGTAAACCTGTGATTTCATTTTCAAATGTCTCTCCCTCTCTTCTTTAGTCAAATCAGGGGGGAACACATTGAGCAGATGTGGCCAAACTTCTTTGCGTAAGACAGGGTCAAGTCCACCCCCATGGAAAACTCGAACCCATAACTCCTCAATGGCAAGAACACGCCCTTCAGAGTCCAAATGACATTGCCACTCTAATTCCTTTAGAGGTCCTCGTCTGACTGAATCAGTGAAAGCTTTGGTAATCTTGCTGAACGTTCGCTCCATTTGATGTTTTAAGGATATGTGGAAGGGAACTGCAGAGGAAACTCCAGTAGATTGTACATTGTTAGTCAGTGGTGCTTCTGTTGCCTCAAGGAAAGTCCAGTCATTGTGACTATCTTCTGAAAATACAATAGATAAGTACTAGTTGGTACCACAGTCAGTCCTCTATGGATGAATTTTCACGACATGTAACGAAATGCAGCAGGAATATTTGCCTTAAATGAAACTATAAAACTATTGAGTCTTGAAGAATGATGTTATCTACTCCTTCTAACTTTTCACTCCCACGAGTGACCAAGACAATTTTTGTTCACAATTTCAATACAATATCAAGAAGGCAAGTGACCAGAACAACAAAAAATATCAACTAGAGAATTCTAATAACAAATCCTCCAAGCTAACATCATAGGAATTGTATAGCAGATATTAATGAGTATTACTGATGTGATCTTGAGATTGAAAAAGTTAAGGTCCAATTCCCAGCTTTATAACACTGAATTCAAGCTCACATTTGAATTGGCTCCTGGGCCATCATGTCCAGTTACAAAATTTGGTAAAGAAAATCTTAGAACCTTAAAATACATTGTCCTTCATGCCATAGAAATCACATGTTTTTAGAAATTTGTGGGGGGAGGGATCATGAATTTGAAAAAGAAAAACAACCAATAGTCTTGTGTGTGTACATTTGCTAATTCAAATCTACAGTAGCAACATGGTTACTCTTGCAGATTTCATTAGCTTTCAGTGTTCTCAGTTACTTGTGTCCAACTCAATTGCAGTTCTCTTTTGAAATTGATAAAAGCATGCACAAAATGAATGCTAACATAATAAAACTCGATTGCCCTGTCTAAAGGGGATATCTTGCCTCCAGAAAAATTTGATTTTCAAATTCTTGGGAAATAAGATTTACCACACTCCAATGCCATATGAGGTCTGAAACCTGTGCTTCACTTTTTTAAAGTTAAAATTTAACCCTTTTGTATCAAGATATTGCCGGACTAACCTAAAACAACTGTAAGTTATGTCTCCAAGCAGTGCTTTAATGTTGTCAGCTCTAAACTTACAAATAAGTCCCTGTTACTCCATTTTTTTTCCAAAGGCCTTGAAACCACTAACCAGCTCAGAAAGGAGCCAGCCATTTTGTTTGTTTGTTTGACCTTGCAACATATTTAAGTAATTACACTTGGGATATCACTTAGGATATTATGTAGCCTTTGCTTGCAGTGTTTAGACAGCTAGATCTATGAATAGGACTTCATTATATTTTCCACTTAATTGCAAGACTCCTTCATGGCTGTATTTTAACAAACCAGTTATCAACAAGAAGGTAATTTCTTCTTTTTGGTCTCCATTACAACAAGGTCAAGTTAATTCAGGTTTACTTGGAACTTTTTTAGTAGGACTATTACTGAAATGTCACAGGCATGTAAACTAGTATTATAGTTATGAAAACCCATATTACCTGAACAAACTACAGGTTCAACCTTGAGACTCAAATATGGCAAAGATGAACTCATGAAGGCAGCATCAAGATCAAAGTCAGATGTAAGAGAGATAAACACGTCTGGTCTCTTTCCATTTTCTGTTGACTGTGGGAGCTGATATGATATTTCAAAGTCTCTAAAAATGGTTCATAAAAGAGAAAATCAGCTGTTAAATGTATCTGTGGTTGCGTAAATGATGAAAAAGAAGTCCTGTATAGGAAAAGACGTAAAAAAATAAAGTCTTCTCAACAACCATTTAAAGCAAGGATACTACTTCCACAAAGTTTTGGAATCTTTTTTTCTACGTGTAGCAGTAAATTGGTCGTTGCACGAGAAATTAGGGGCCTGTTATTTGAACAAAGTTTATTCGTTGTTTTACTGAGCCAGGTCCTAAAATAACTTCAATTTAGCCGAACCTTTTATCTGCACTGATATTAATGTGCGCTGTGTTTACTTCGACCTTAGGTGAACCTTACAAATACTGTTGTTACAACCTCGTGCCTCCATTTCAGATTTCACTGGTTAACGGATAAAATCGAAAACATATGAATTTAACGAGTCGGTTGCTCTTGAGGGTGAATGACTTTGTGATATCGTCTTTTATTGATTCCTCACTCCGAACAAAAAATACGTTTCGCGTTGGCCGCTATGGAGGCATTAGAGGCCACGTAGGTGACAACTTTATGTACACCGATTGACTGTGTGATACGAAGAACGAGAAATTGTGCATGAACAACTACGGTCACCAATTTTATTCAATAAATGAAAAATAAGTTGCCAGTTTTTTTAACAGATGTTGACCCCACTCGTCTTTCTTTCGTAGTTGCTAAATGCCAGTTTGAAAAGTACCCGTAAATCGCTCAAAAACTACGACAAGAGAGTAGTGCTGGAACATTCACATCACGATGTATTTACCTACCCTTGTAATTGAAAGGCTCGCTTCAATAACTGACAAAGATTATTAAAAGACGTGATATGTGGGTCTACGGAGAAGCACCTCTTGACTCCTTCACCATCAAATTTTCCATCATATAACTGAAAAAAAGAAAAAATAATAACAATTAGTAGATTAATTTGTTAAGGGAAATGGAAAGTTTAAATGAATAAGTAATTAGTTGAAAGCAAAAGATCATTCCACTATTTTACAGCAATGCTTGTGGGTTTTTACACGTACCACTGCTTTTACACGAATTGCTTCGCGATCTTGCAAAGCATTTCCCGGTAAGGATGACATTCAAGAACTTCTTCCGACACAAATATCGTCACGAACATTAGCGTACGTCTTTAGAATACATTAACTTTGACTTTCTTTGTTGCTGAATTGACGTCACCATATTTGCGAAATAAACCGCTGTTTAACAATTTTGCTGGCTTAAAGTTTCAAATTGTGACCAAATTTGGGCATTTCCGGGAAGTTCCCAGGAAACCTAGCGTTGCTGTAATTTGGCCGCCATCTTAATTTTGAAGGAACATCAGTGATCTCCAACAAAAGAGACCTTTGGAAATGGCAGATTTTGACGAGCCCATCTCAGACCAAGAAAAGGTATGGAAATGAACATAATTCCATTGTAAAAGTTATTCATCGTTGAAGTATCGCAATTGACGAATCGATGTGGTTCCACCAATTAGGTGCGGATAGCTTCTGACTTCATCAAACACGCCCCACCAGGAGAATTCAACGAAGTCTTCAACGGTAGGCATGATTTGCAAAGAAGTGTTTTGAGTTTTAATTTATTCTACTTTCAGATGAGGACTGTTTTTTTTTATTGTAGATGTTCGCATTTTGTTGAACAACGACAGTCTGTTGAAGGAGAAAGCTTCGAGGTTGGTGTGTGTGATGTTCAACGATTAATTTAAACAAGTTTTTCTTATTTTTATAAATTCTAGCTTAACGTCATAATACTCGATCACTTATTTGCATTTCATACAAAAAGATTAGGGACTTTCGCATCTTACCTGAATAATTTTTAACAAAGTTATAAATGTGAAAGAATTGTCCAAGTATTACCCGATTATCTTCCGTCACGCCTTTTCTGGTAGACAGTGCATGTTGTTTAGAAATTAAAACTGAAATGAATTGCTCGTGATGTACTGATAAACTAAAAACTTTTAAGGAAAAACAGGTGTAAAACATGGATCCTTTGTAGGGCCTCAGTAGTCATGTACTTGATTTAGGTGTTGCAAAACATGTCGTTGCTCTTAATTGCTTCTCAAAGTCCTTGTAAAAACGTATCGTAGCTTGGCACTGAGGAAGTGCCAATGTAAAGATGTTACCATCTTATGTTACTTCACATAATATCTGTACATGTATGTTGGTCGCAACTAGATGTTTACACCATACAAATGAAAAGAATGAGTACTACATCAGCACAGTTATAGAACACGAGCAAAAGAAGCTCGTGAGTTCCTGATTGTTTTCAACTCCTTATGCAGGGCCTATTGCAGGGTTAAATAGAAAATTAAAAAGTTTGTGAGATTTTAATATGTCAGATTTTTGGGGTTAGAACATTTACTGTGTGGGAATTGTCCAATTTTTCTGTGACATGTTTTAATTGCATTTGTAGTACTTTGCTGTGCTTTTTGTTTCCCATATGTTAATTGTACCTTTGCTTGTTTCTGTAGATTCAGTAGGGATTATGATTAGTAGTATATTTGTATTAAGCAATTGTGATAAATGAAAATATAATTTTGTTTTCTTCGGTTGCTGGTTTTGTCAACAGCTCTTTTTCAGCCTATAATAAGGAACAGTTCACACCAGTGAAACTTGAAGGTGCAAATGAACAGGTGAGTACATAACTCGCTGGAAATTTTTGTTACCCCTGAATCACAAGGTTTTATCCAAGCTTTCTTTGTAACTATTTTATTGAGCCCTGTGTTGTTTTTGTGTTCATAACAACAGAATTGAAAAAAAAAAGTTTCTCTTTGACATATTTTAGGTTTTATATATCAACATTTACTTGATTTAGGAAATTTGTGCTTTTATGCTCATTTTTCCAAGGAATTTAGAGTTGATTATCAATGTTAATACACATGGTATGTTTTCTTCCAACACTGCCTTTCCTTTTAATCTTAGCACTTTTCTCTGCCTTTAAAATCAACTCTTTAACACTTAAAATTTCTTTTATTATGATAGTATGTAAAAGAAATGATTTTCCAAGTATGTACAATACCAGAGTTGTTGATATCAGTAATATCCTAAAGGTATTGGTGACCAGACATGGTGAACTATCTGATGGAAGATTTTATGATCCTCGAAGTAAACAAAGCTTCCAGTATGACCACTTGCGTAAGGTAAGAGCCATGTCATTTTTTTGCAGTTGTGTATTTCCTTCACCATTATTTCTCTTTCTACAGACCACAGACTTTGTATTTTGACAAGCTGTATTCATCAGAATTTGTTACATTGCCATGGTTAACCAGCCATGGAGAATGTTCCATCTGCATGGATGGGATACTCACCTCCACCTAAGCACTTTGTTAATTTACTTGTATAACAGACAGATGGTGTCAGTTGATTTTGTGGGAGTTGAAGTTGTCAATAAGTTTGAAAGTAGAAGGCAAATAAGAAGTATTAAACAGTCAGGTTATTGTGGGCACAATGTTATTTGGTTTAGATAACATGTAAGAATGGGAACTATTAAGTCAAAGTGCCAAGGGGCTTTGACAAAGTTTGAAGAAACCTATGAGCAAATCCTTAATTTTGAATTTATTCATATATTCAAACCTGTTGCTGATAAATCTTGCATTCAATCCCATTAGAATCTGGGAAATAGCTGTTGAACAAATATATCCTATAAGTATTTCAATGGTTACATTATTGTTCATGAGCAATTATGTCAAAATGAGGTGAAAGTGGCTGGCTTGAGATGGTAGACTAGTTAGTGGTTTGGTTAGCTACAAGCCAGAAATGTTTAACCTTTTTTATTTCAACAAAAATCATTATGTAAATCTCCACTTCTGAACATTTTTACACCCATAGTCAAAAAGAGCTCAACATACAGGGATGTTCTTATTTACTAGAATGAAAACTTGGCAACCTCTGATATCCTGTAAGCTACTGGATCTCCTAACTGAACTAGATGGACCTCTAATTGTCTGAAAAATACATAGGTTTATTGTTTTGTGTTTGATTTAACAGGAAGCAAGTAATCCTAGTGCACACAGTGCTAATCCAACAGCTGAAGCATGGAGGGCAGCTGTTGAAGAGAGTGTGACAAGTTATGTCAGAGAGCATTACCCTCATGGAGTCTGTACAGTACGTCAACTTTTTCCTTTTCTTTTGTTAGGTACAGAATAGTGAAAACTGGCAGAAAGACAGCTCTCATGGCACAGCCATGATTGAAAACATTACTCGCCAAGAGTGATTGAATTGTGCATTTGGCTGGATTTATCAGTTTTTGGCTGCATCTATGGTGCACAATCAAGTCAGGATTGGAAAAAGTTCATGTAAATAAGCATTAGTGAATGTGCAGAAATTCTAATTTTCTAGAGTGTTCCGCCCTTCTGGCTTCTGTATTCATGAGTTTAGCTCCCTCTTGTATTGCATGTTCACACTATTTGATGATTAAAAATTACAAAATATTGTAGGAAATACTAAATTTGTTTTCTCCACTTTCCATTTGTAGAGTCTTTTGCAAAACTCAAACTTCAATCAGTTCAAGACTTCATCCCTCTTACATTTTAGAAAATCCAGGCCTGAGGACTAAATTTTAATAAACTTTCAACGTATTTGCTGACTGTTCGCCAATATATGTTTCTTAAGGAATTGCATCCTCTTGTTGAAGGTGAAAGTGTTTGAGTTATATTTATGTTACATTTGAAGGTCTATGGAACTGTGTCGGGTGGATCAATCAAGTTGATTGTTTGTATAGAGGATCACCAGTTTCAACCACAAAACTTTTGGTAAGAACAGCTGTCAATGGGATATCAATTTTAATATGCAATTTTTTGTACCCATATCTACCTCATACATAGATGATAGTGATAAATACAGTATAGATGGAAACTGGCTCTCACTCTGCCTTACCTGAGGTAGGGGAGAGGTGTAAATGTTTTTCCATCTTCTGGGAGTTTCTTTTGTTTTGCACTTCAGTTTATCATTAGGAACCAACAAACAAGGTTGTTGTTCTCTGTGGTACTTTTTTGGTACCCTTTTCCACTCAATTGTGCTCCAAGGCTGGTGCAATAACTTGCTCCCTTTCTTTTTCAACAGGAATGGTAGGTGGCGTTCAGAGTGGTCTGTGTCATTCCAGCCATCAGGTGGAAGCGTGGAAGTCACTGGTGTCCTCAAAGTGCAGGTAAAAGAAACAGATACTACATTGTAGCCACAAACAATAGTTTTTGATGGGTATATAAGTGTCCTTCTTTCATATGAACTGAAATTTGTAAAATTATAATAACTTCTCCTAAACTTGATTTTCAATATATTGCTAGTATATTGCCCATCACAGTTTGCTTTCACTTTTTTTTATCTCTCAGCCTTTCCCTAACTCATCATTTATCTCCAAATATTTTATTTTGCATAAACCCATGGAGTATCTACTATAATTTTTAGCTATAATTTTAGAGCTTTTTTTTCCCCCAAGGGTTTTTTGTCATGAGATATGTGGGCAAAATACTCTAGGTCCTTATTTAAACACAAATAGGAAGCATATGAAGTGAAATGTTCAAGATATACTCTTATTTTATGAGTGGAGGGTTTTTAGGAACAATTGGATGTCAGTAGATTTACATGTGATGGTGTAGGAGATTTAGGGACTCAAATAATTCTACCCCAGGCCAAGGTGATGAAATTTAGGCAAGCAAGGTCTTCATCAAAAATAAACAAACTAAGTTGACCTCTTGCTGTGTAATGCTTAGTTGTTGGTCTATCATCAGTCTGTGGTTTACTTGTTTTGTTTGTTTGTTTGTTTGTTTTTTTTTTATTTCTTACTTTGATGTGATAATTTCCTGTTTGGAAACTTATAGGTTCATTACTATGAAGATGGCAATGTTCAGCTTGTGTCATCCAAAGAAGTGAAGGAAAATCTTAAAGTAACAGTAAGTGAAGAACAGCCCGTGTAGTGTTCTCTGTAAATTTTTTAGATGAAATTGTGTTAAATGAGCATGAGTTGTAGGGCCTCTTACAGTAAGTAGACTACTCAAAAGTAATTTGACAATCCCTTGAAATTTGATCCTCGATCCTTGATTCTGGAAAGTAATGAGGAACAAGTTTTGAGGATAGAGTTTTGAGTGGAGACTGTTAACTTACTTTTGAGGGGTGCTGTATGTCCACTGGAGTGTGCAAGGCATTACACTGTACTGCA